CTTCTGGCTCTGTGAGGCCTCTCCAAACATTAGGGTTTGCTCAGGACATTTTCTCTGACTCACCCTGGGTGATAAGACAGGAAAGGGCCTTGAAGCAAGCCAGTCAGCATTCAAGATTTAGTGGTTTTCTTTTTTCTTTCTTTTTTTTTTGTTTTTTTTTTTCCCCGCCCATTGGGGGTTTGATTTCAGAATTTGCAAGTTCCTTCATAAAACCTCTGTAGCTTTAGCTGAACGGTCGCCATCCTAGGAACCAAAGCAGCAGAGAATGCTGAACAACAAGCATTCTCTGGGCCCTGCTGCCTCTGACTGAGAAGAGCTTTACTGCTTGGCAGTCAGTAGCTGCCTTTACTTATTCCCTCAACGACTACTTATTGAGCCCTTTCTGAGTGTCATGGCCATGCTAGGTGCTGGAGAAATGATGCAGCTCTGGGACCTGGGACCTGGACTCTTTCTGAATAAAGCCTGCAGAGTGTGTGTGTGTGTGTGTGTGTGTGTGTGTGTGTGTGTTTGTGTGTGTGTGTCTTAAAAACAAAACAAGATCTGAGCTGGCCATGATGGACGTGAAGGGAGGTCTTAGCCACTTTTGGACGTGAAACCATCATGTGTGCAAGGGCCTTTTGTGGGGAGGGAGGGTGTATAAAACTGAGACACAGGGCTGGAGAGCAGTGGTGGAGACTTAAGGTGGTACCCAGAGCACATGGGGCTGGGCCAGGGAGAAATTTGGTAGGTAAGGAGCCTCTTGGGAGGCGGGGGTTGTAGCTCAGTTAGTATAGTACTTGACTTGCATGCAGAAGGCTCTGGGTTCAATTCCCAGTACAGCATCAAACTGAGCATTGTGGAACAAGTTCGTAATCCCACATTGGGCAGGTGGAGGGGGAGGGACCAGAATTAAGGTCATCCTAGACCACACAGTGAGTTTCAGGCCAGTTTGAGCTACAGAAAAGAAGAAGCCCCCTTGGCCTTTCATCTTAAAAGAAACAGGAAATCACTGAAAGGGCTTCATTCACACGGGAGGGGGTGGGCTTTCATTGGGAAATGCCTGAATTACATTTCCATTTCGAAAAGATTATTCTGGCTGCAGAACTAATGTCTTTTAAGGTAATTTCTGCTCAGCAAATCCAATAAACATAGTTTGCCAGGGGAAGTAGAAGCCGGTTCACAGCCAGATCTGGGTTTGAGTCCTGACAAGATGGCATTTCAAAGCCTCAGTTTCCTTGTCTATAAAATGGGATACTAATATCTCTGGTGTTCTTGCAAGGGTTAAAGGAATGACAATAAACAAACAAACAAACAAACAAATAAATAAATAAAGTCTTCCTACAAGTTATTCTCTGAAGTAGAAACTGGTGTTGATCTTATGTATTATCTAACATTCAGTGAGCCAGTTATTCTTAGACAAGACAGACTTCACATGAGTTTCAGTTGGCTCCACACTCATTTGGAAATCATCACTCCTGCCTCTTCAACGACAAATGCACGGCAAATACAGCCACTCATTTAGCTGGCTGTATAAGCTGTGGCTATCTACCCTTCCTATCATGGTCTTTGTCAGATGAGCGACTGGCGCAGAGACGAGCAGCCAGGAGGCAGACAAATGATAAGGGCCTGAATAGAGGCCGAGGGCTGTGGGAAGGGGTGTGTGTGTGTGCGGGGTGGGGGTGGTGGGGGGAGGCGTGGGAGACTTGCTGGTAATGAGTAAGCGACTATGGTGGCGTCCTCTCGTTAGAGTGGGGTTAGCATTTTTATTCTGTTCTGATAGCCCTGCATTCTGCATGCCCTTATGTCTGTGTCAGCCTGGGGTCCTGCCAGAACACAATTCAGTGGCTCTTAAGTCTAGGTGTTGTCAGAATAGACAAGAGCCTACTCGGAGTCTTCCATCGGCCAATGGCCAGATGATGCCAGCAATGAGGATGTGTAATGGGTGACATAGATCCATTTAGATTCTTGGCTTATACATGACGATACTTAAGAACAGTCATCACTGTGAGAAGGTGAAATGAGGCCAATAGAGGACCTTGGATATCTGAGAGTAGAGGCAAGGAATCAGACATTTATCTTGCCTTCCTGATATGTAATTAGTAGATGTGGGGAAGATTTTTTTTTTTATTGTTTGATGAACTGAGGCCACACCTCCCACCAGGCAGTTCTAGCTGGCCTGGAACTTGCTGTGTAGACTGGGCTGGCCTTGACCTCACAGAGACTCACCTGCTTCAGCCTCCTGAGTGCTAGGATTAAAGGGACATATCCCATTTTGACCATTTTACCAGAAGTATTTCAGCTAAAAAAAAATGAAGACATGGGAAGGACAGAGTCAGAATATCATTATTTTGTAGTTGTCAGTGACTGTAGGCATTAGCTGTCAGTGACTGCTAATGTCATGGAAAGATGCCCCTGTTATGTGCCTCCCAATGGGAAAACAGTGCTCTCGCCTACACTAAACCAGATACAAATACACTAGATCTAACCCCCTATTTGTACAAAAGAGAGAATGGGGTATGTTAAACGATAACAGTGAAAGACTATAGAAAAGAGAGTGAACAGAGAGAAACTCTATGACATATACTACCTGTTTACCTCTCTAGAGGCGGTGGCATCCAGGAGAATGGAGCTGATAAGTGAGGCCGACTGAAGTCTCATGCAATAGCCTGCTTTATTCAGAGCATCACAGTTTATACTCTGGGGGTTAAGAAGAGTCACACAAGAAAAGTGTCCAATCACATGGGCAAGCAGCATGTGGAGGACAAGCCTCCGGTGGTGAAAACGTGAACAAACACTTGCCAGCTGTACTGAGTAAGCAACAAAACCCAGAGTAAACTCACTCCTGTAAGCTACACCCGGGAAGAGCACAAAACATGTTCTAAGAACCATCCTGTGGTTTGGAAGAAACGCAAGTCCCCAGACTCTTGGCTTCTTGGAGTTTTCCCACAAGCTCTCCGAAATCTCCTCATAGGATTCCATTCTTGGACCCTGCTCCGATACTCACCTAACTACAATTGTACATTAAGGAGCCAGGGAAAGTGTGAAACTCTGTAAGTGGATGCATTTGAAGATAAATGATTCAATAGCTACGGTTTAAATTAGGAGAGGGGACAAAGTGGTTGTTGAGGGTGAACAGGGCTTCTAGGTTGTCTTTTTCATAAAAGAAACAGTTCAGAAACCCATTAGTCAACCTCTCTGTCCTCCTCTTTTAATACTAAAGGCATTTACTATTATTAATAACGTGATGCTGACCTGCCAGCTCCTGGGCTGACTCAGCATTTCAAGCTTTATAAACTTGAATTCTCCTATGAAAACCACTCCATCTGTGGTGGGGGCAGGGATGGTATTCTGTAACTCAGCTCTCTGACTCTTCCCATACTCTTTTAAGAAATGAGGGCACAGATGGTGGTTCTTAACTTTCTTGATTCCGTGACCCTTTAATACAATTCTTCATATTGTGGTGACACCCCAACAATAAATTATTTTCGTTGCTACTTCATAACTGTAATTTTGCTACTGTTTTGAACAGCAACATAAATACGTGCTCCGATGGTGTTAGGTGACCCCTTTGATAGGGTCATTTAAACCCCCACAGAGGGTGGCGACCCATGTGTTCAGAACCACTCACTGCCTTAGGAGCTGGCAGTGATTTTGATAGAATGCAGAGACAAAGAGGTGTAGGTGTCACAGTTGGACAGGGGTGGAACCCCAGCTTGGGTAGGTGATTACCCAAGTAAATCTAGCCTAGTGTCCCATACTCCCAATTGGTGGTATGGAAATACCAATCCTGCTTAGCTCAAAGCTCATCCATGAAGATCGTCTGTTAGGTGCTATGCACTCATTCCACAAACAAGGAGCTCCGAGCCTTCAGTTCTGAGAGGCGTACCGAGTGGAGTGGAGCAGCGAATAAAATACAAGGGGTAGACCATTTGGAACCTGAAGGGCGAGTCCAGAGCAGGTGGGAAGCAGTAAACATAGTAGCTTGACAGGGAGCAGTTAGTTCCCAGAGAGCCTAGATGCAACCTTAGGGACAGATCTGGGTCAGTCTGGCTAGAGAGCTGCTTGAATCTCATATGACCTAAGTGACTTAGCTTGCTAGGGGTGTTCTGGCCTTGACCGAAGTAGGACTGCTCCCACTCTGCTCAACCTCCCTGGACGTCTGGCAATGTGTAAGGAAGGATTTTTGGTTGCCGTACCTTGGAAAGAGAGGGGCCATTTGGTCACGGCATTTAGTGGGTAGAGGCCAGGCATGCTTCCCTCCAAACTATGGGACAGCCCCGACGCCAAAACTAAACTCTTCTAAAATGTCAGGAGCGATGATCTTGATAACCCTTGCTTGCTATACAGAAAACAGTAAGGGTAGGAATGAAAAAGAAGCTGCGCTCGCTGTGTGGAGGGAGCAAACCTAAGTCTAGAGTGGCTGAGTAAATGGGCATGAAGTGAAAGGAGGCTAGACCCTTGCTAGTGAGGAATTTGGGGTTGCCCCTAAAGCAACGAGAAGCTCTCGGAAACGTTTCTGCCGGGAGCGTGCGAAGCGCTTAGCACGTACAGGCGCCCAGTGGATATGGTCTGTAATTTATCCTCACCATTGTGTCTTCCCTACCCCGCCCAGCTTCGACCCCTGCCGCAGCGTGGCGGCAGTGACTCCTCCCGGCCAGCAGAGGGCACCGGCCCGCACTTGGCCGCTGGCCGCCCGAGGCGGGCCTCCTCTTGCCGCTCCTCCCCCCCCCCTCGTCTTTTCCCCCTTAGGAGAAGTCGGGAAGGTGGCGGCGGCGACGGCGGCGGCGGCGGTGGTGGCGGTTGTCCCGGCCGGCCGGTTGGTGTGACCGGTCGGCGCGCGCTGCGCAGCGTCCGCGCTTCGTCCAGCCGGGCGGAACCGAGCGCGGAGGGCCGAGGCCGGAGCCCGCGCGGGCGGAGGAGGGCGGAGGCGGCGGCCAGGGCGGCCCGTGGGAGGGAGCGCGGGGCCCCGGCATTGCCGCCGGCTCCCGGCCCTGCCGGCCTCGTCGGTCGGAGCCGCGGCCATGGCGGCCAGCGCGAAGCGGAAGCAGGAGGAGAAGCACCTGAAGATGCTGCGGGACATGACGGGGCTGCCGCACAACCGCAAGTGCTTCGACTGCGACCAGCGCGGCCCCACCTACGTGAACATGACGGTCGGCTCGTTCGTGTGCACCTCCTGCTCGGGCAGCCTGTGAGTGCGGCCGGGGGGCCTGAGGGCCAGGGGGTACCGAACCGGGGCGGCGGGGCCCGTTGGGATACAGCCGGCCTGGGCCTCGGGGTCCAGGATGCTCTTTTCGCTTTGGCGGGGCCATGGGGTGACCGGCGTGGGTGGGGCGTGGGTGGGGTCGGGGTCAGCTAGCAACCGGCGCGGCTGAGCATCCCGGCTTCCCGCCGCTCAGCGGGCGTGGCCCGGCCTCGGGGGGCGCAGGCCCGGAGAAGCCCCAGGAGGGCCTTTGTGCGTCCCGCAGCTTCGGGGTTTGGAACCCGGCATCTGCCCGGCGCCGCGGAGCCGGTGGGGAGGGAGAGAGTAAGGACGCCGAGACTAGGGATCTTTCTCTGGTCCACGGCACCTAGGTAACTGGGACGTGGGGCGGGCGGGGGGGGGGGGCGGATGGGGAGCCCCACGTCTCGGTGGCTGAGATGTGACTCCCAGGAGAAAAGTTCTCCCTTGAGGACTAACTGCATGAGGGGTAGGCAGCAAAAGCACGAGGGTTGTGACTGCATGGCTCCAAGTGTCCCAAGTTGGGGAAAGTTTTACTGGGAGTGGGGTATGAGTTGTGTGGTTCAAAATAAGGATGGAGCTCGATGAGATTTCTGAGTCAGTACCCAGGTGTCCTGACTGTATGGAGAAACGGGGACGGGGGAGACAATATTGAGAAAGAAGGAGCTGGAGCTGGCCGCCTGAAATTACTCAGGTAGCTTATGTCTGGGCTTATCTGTTTAAGCTGTGTTTTGCTGGGAACTTTTGTTCCTGTGAAATTTCATTTGGAAAGATTGCAGGTGATTGTGAATTCAATATAAGTTACTAATGAGCTTGTAGTTAATATTCCTTGGGTCGTTAAACGGAAATCTTACATGTGTGTGTCTGTCTGTCTTTCTTTCTGTATGTCTGTGTGGCCATGGGTGCATGATTTGTATATTTGGGATTTGGGTTCACTTTGACTGGCTGAGCACCTTCTTGCCGGCCCTCCTCCCAGTTTTTGTTATGAGATTAATAACAAAGTACACAACACGTGGGAAAACGAATTTCTAAAAAACTGGAAAGTGTTGGATGTGGCCAAAAGTCCAGTATTGGCTCTTATTTCCCCAGTTTTAAATTTGGGCAAGGAGTTGTCCTTGGTTCTCCAGGAGCTTCCCAGTATTTTGGGTGGTATCTATTAGGTTTCGCAGGAAGCTTAGGGTGTGGTGATAAATGCTTCGGTGGCCACGGTCTCTTGGCATTTACATTCTAATGGGGCAAAGGGAAAAGCGGTAGGAAAAGTGACCGGGAGCCCTGAGGTGCTGGCACTTGCCTTTATTTAATGCCTTTAATTCCCCTGCACTGGGAAGCCTAGGCTGGAGGATCTCTGTGAGTTTGAGGGCAGCCTGATCTACAGAGCAAGAACAGGAAAAAAAAAAAAAAATAAAGCAAACAAGAATTAAAAAAAAAAAAAAGAAAAGAAAAAGGACTGAGTTCTGTGGTGAATTTGGGAGTAGTGTAGTAAGGGGGTCCCAAAGGTTCCTTTCAGGTTTGTAGGTTGGGAAACACTCAAATTTGCTACAGCTGCATGGCAAATAGGAGCTAGTATGGGTGGCTCTTGATTTTCATTTATAAATGAAATAAAATTAGGACATTAAAGTCACTTAAGCTCTGCAACTTCAGTTCCAAAATTAAGTTAATAATCTAATTTCTAAGTGTACTTTTTTTGTTTATTTTTTAAGTCAGGGTTTCCCTGTAGCTTTGGAGCCTGTCCTGGAACTAGCTCTTGTAGACCAGGCTGGCTTCGATCTCACAGAGTGTTGGGTAAAGGTGTGCACTCTAAGTGTACTTTACTTTTGATGTGTGTTTAAGAAGTATGCTTTATTTCTGCCAAACATGAGGTTCTTTGATGCATTTGAGCCTTTGGGTTGGAATACATATTTACGTTTGTATAATTCATTTACTTTTTTTTAATACAATTTCTGTGTGTAGCCCTGGCTGTCCTGGAACACAGGGGTCCAGCTGCCTCTGCCTCTCAGTGCTGGGATTATAAAGTTGTGAGCCACCACCATCCAGCTAGCTGTATGTATATGTTTGAAGTCAAGTCTTGAGAGCTCTTTAAAAGCACAAAGTGCTTCCTTGCAGCAAGTGTGTAATGAAGAAAATAGGAACATGAGACATAAAGGATCTATCAGTGTAAGGTATTTTTTTTTTTTTGTCTTTACAGGGTTTCTTTGTAGCCCTGGCTGTCCTGGAATTGCTCTGTAGACCAGGGTGGCCTTGAACTCACAGGGATCTGCCTGCCTCTGCCTCCTCAGTGCTTGGATTAAAGGTGTTTTCACCACTGCCAGTTTTATTGGTATAATTTTTTTAAGTTATTCTTGTTTTTATTGTTTGCACATGTATACATTTATTTTTTGTGCACATGTGTGTGCATGCACTTATATGCACTGTGACACTTGCGTGGCTTGGGTGGCTGTACAAGGATGGCTTGAGGGACTCAGCTCTCTGATTTCCCTGGATTGTGGATCCTGGGGATTGAACTAGGTCGTTTGTCTTTGTGGCAGGTGCCACTGAGTTCTCTCTGGACTCCCAGTATAATTTTTTATTTTAAGAAATATTTTCCCTTTATGTGTGTGCTATCCTTGGAATATGAAGGTTGGCTTGGAGACTTTACAGAGGAGTTGATGTCTGAGGAAAGATCTCAGGTAGCAGCAGCTTCATGTAGTAGAAGAATGGCGTACTTAGGAGCTAGGTGACAATGCTTTTCATTTTGCCTCTAAAAGCTGTGTTATTAATATTGAAAATATCCTCTCAGCAGTTTCTCATATATGAAGAATAAAAGTTTCTATTTCAAATTTGTTTTCCATACTGAAGAGAACCTCGTACAGTGTCTGGAATACAATAGATGCCCAGTAGGTTTCTATCCCAGGGATTGGGAACAGAAAGTTTGATACTGATATGAGAAGCACTTTCATCAGAGTCTTGTTGGTCCCAAGTTTTGGGCTGTAACCTGAAACCTGACTCAAAAATACAAAGACAATTTGCTGATAGGTTTAAATGATATTTCATTCCTCTCATCTGAAAAGATGATTACCCCTAGCTCCTGGAGCCACAAACTGCACTAGCCTAATTGGGCCAGCCAAGCCAGTCACTGGCTACCCTGAGCCAGTGCCCTCTGCATGTTCCATCCTCAGATTCTTGCCAAGAAAAAGTGATGCTGCAGTTTTGGCCATGGAATGTTTGCTGTAGCATTTGGAGAAACTAACACCTGAGGATGTTTGTCTTTGAAAAGCCATAATGCTGGAGAAACAACTCAGGAAGAATGGAATAATAATTCTGTATTTCTTATGTAGATGATACAGTATGTCATGTACATGTTG